TAAACAAATCTTTATAGAGGGTGACCCTGTTAGCTAGGCTTTTAATAAACAGTGTCGCATTAGAGTGAATATCAACGCATGGATCTTCTGAGCATTTTGATCATAATGATGATAAATTCATCAACAAAGACTGGTTATACTATACTGGCCAACGAAACATCTGCCTTATTTTAAGGAGTGGTCTACATGGTCTACTCTCTTCTATAATTTTCTGAGCCTCATTCAAGTCGCCGATTATGATCTTTCCAATTAATAACTTAAGATTGTGTTTCGCCCTTAAATTATTATTTGGTTGAGTCAAACTATCCGGGATGTCCAAATTATGGTCAGGTTTATTTTACACATTATGATAGACTTCGGAACGGTTTTGGAACATTCTTTTGCAGAGATTGATAGATGTCCACATTTGACGTTAGAAAATGAGTCAATACGAAATAATGTCCTATGGAGAATATTTTTTTTTCTGGCGCGGCGCGATGATCAGCCTCTTTAACTTTATAACGTTTAGTCTTGGAACTGCATGTATGAAGTCGGCATGACTTGGACCAATGATATTCCGACGTTCATCATTGTTATTTAATTGCTACAACCCTTTCAACGTGTATTCACACAGAGAGAAGTCTCTAGTTGGCTCCCAGTTAAATCTGGTGTCCCTCAAGTCTCAGTACTAAGCCCTTTACTATTTGTTATGTATGCTAATACGTTGCACCTTATATATCATCTTCAATGGTTCAATATGCTAACTATGTGTTTATAGAGAAGTTTTGATCATGAGGTCACTGACCTTGCACTTCAGGGTAACTTAACTTAAACTATAGGGTAATGGCCCCAAAAGAACCGACTGAAACCCCAACAAATGTAAAGTTATGATGGAAAAGACAGTGTAAAAAACGATTTTATGTAATTGTTAATTCAATTTTAAAATGTGTGGTTCTCACAATTTGTTAGGCTGTATTATTAAAAAAAAATCTTTCACGATATGGAATTTCATGAGCCAGTAGTTAAATGTAATCGCACTTGTGGTCTGGATTGGATTGGATTGAATTTATTCACCAATGAGAGCCCACGAAAGTCTAGAAGAAGACTTATTTCCAGTAGAGTCCTTCTGGTGGTGATTAGGCAGTACACCGGGAGACAATCCCCTACTCTTTTCCGAAGAGTGTACTGTGTTATTTAACGGGACGAACGGCTTTAACGTCCCATCCGAAAAACGGTGCGCTATTGTAACTTGTATTTCTGCCCTCTGGCTGAAACACAAGGAGAGGCAGCTATGGGAATTAAAACCGGGGACATACAGAATTCCACGGTTCAGCGCAAACACAGTGGCTACCACCAGATTAGCCGACTGAGCTAAGCTGGTCTTATTCGACTACTCTCCGGCGATGCTCCTATGAAAGTATCCCTGCATCTGTTTAAGGCGCTCGTTGTCCCAATTTTGCTGCATCGCTGCCCGATTTGGTGGTTAGTCGTAGGAAGCATATTGATCAGCTTGAGGCTTTGCAAAGGCGAGCGACGAGAATGACAAGGGTACTGGAGCAATCCTATAAGAATAGAATGTTGTCTCTATAAATAATGTCAGTAAAAAAATTAAAAAAAATGTATTTGGTCCTAAACTTTACTTTTTCGTGCGAAGCGAATATTTTATCTAATTTCAATTTCATTGCAAAATTCAAAATCGCCTCAATATCCCCGCAATGTTAGTACTGAACAGGCGCAATTCGGCATTGCTAATATTCTTAACCATTTAGATTGACTCAATTAGTACCTACATTTGTACCTATGCGCACTTTGAAATCTGATTACGTGATACCATATTGCAAAAGCTCAGAAAGGATTATAAATCCAGTTGCAAAAATCAGATAAAATCATTTTAAAACCTCCCCCCCCCCCACACACACACACACATACATCAAAATGATAAAGAATAATATTTGGTTGTTTGGAAATGCAGAGCTTGCATTGGGGTTAAAACTCAGATTTATAGTCAGTTTATTCCGTGGTGATCGGTGTTGCACATGCCCTTAACCTGCCTCAAATCAATCAAATTGACCGGTAAATTAATTTGAATTATTTATTGTTTCCTAGATTTTGAACAAATTATTTGCATTTATTAATTTCAATTTTTTTCTAAAAGGAGACTAAATCGGTATATAATAACCCAACGGCCATTTAACAAATATTATGTGTGCCAAAATAAACTTTTCGGATTTTTAAACGCACAAAGAATAAATTCGATCGTTGTTTCACCGTATCAGATTTTTTAGATTTAAATAACGCTAAAAAAAATTTAAAAATTATATTGAATAAATTGATTTCTTTCTTGATTATATTTATAATGGACATTTAAAACACAATGAAAGACATCCTCTATTTTGATATTTCAGAGTCAATATCTTTACATATCTGACTAAAAAAATATATAACTAGTTATCATTATGAGTGTCTCACGCAAACCACACTTCGCCGAAACCGTATAAGTAAAAAATATATTTTATTTGGAGTGCCCAGCTCGATTTTTCTAGCTGCGTCTTACTATAATGAATATTATAGTAAGACGCGTCTTACTATAACGAAAAAGACAGAATTAAAGAACAAATGAAAACAGAGGCTGACCTAAAGTCGCATGTATCAAGGAATAAACAAAGAACTCAAACCCACACACACCCACATTATAGGCTGTCTCTTATACACATCTAGATGTGTAAACATATATATTATATATATATATAATATATGTTATAATATATGTATATGTATATGTATATATCAGGGGCGTAGCGGAGGGGTATTCAGGAATTAGTCTAATACCAAATAATCAAATACAATTTTGAAATTTTGTTAATTTGTCGCAATACGGAGACAATATTTGCATATTTAATATGCCTTTATGGTCTCAGTATTTCGATAAATTAACGAACACAGCGACATTTAGTATTCTTATGCAGAGTTTACATTATAAGTAATACAATTTGCCTTCCATAAGAGAGGTATTAAAATTTCCCAATAATTAACTCGTTTCGTCAAAGGAACATATATGAGGTAGGCGGATCGCTGAGAAAAGGTTTAACGTTGATAATAGATTACGAGTGCCTCACGCAAACCACACTTCGACGAAACCGTATAAGTAAAAAATATATGTTTATTGCAGTGCCAAGCTCGACTTTTCTAGCTGTGTCTTACTATAATGAATATTATGAAACTCTCTTAAGTAATTAGTTTAACAAACATATACATCCAATACTTGATACTGCAAATGAACTAGTTGCTAGGAGAACATTTCTTTCCAGATATATAAATATATACATATAAATACACTCAACTTGAGTCAATTTGAGTACTTAAGTTTGTCAAATGATGCTAAATGTTCTTACTAACGGTTTTTTTTTAAGTAACCAACTTTTTTCATTCATTCATAAAGGTATTTTATTCAAAAATAATTGTAATTGCAGTACTGTATTAAAGACTGAATTGTAACAATTTTACAAATTCAAAAAAAGAGACATTAAAAAAGGCAAGAGACAAACTTGGAACAGACATTAAAACCATCAGGCACTTAAAATTTAAAAAATATTTTTAAAATCTATACATGACAACAAATACATAAACAGATGAGATATGCAAAATGGTGTATAAAACACCAACTAGATATATTATTAATGACGATACGTTACCTAAAATAATTAAAAAAATAAGATAAAATCTAAGAAAAAAAAAAATATTTTTTTTCCCCTTCTTTCCCCTTTCTTTCCTTTTCCTTCTTCTTAGGCCCTTCTCTCATTCCAAAGTCTGGTCATATATTGCAATGGGCTATTAAAATATCTTTTGGTCCTATGGCTACGGAGAGACAGTTGATTGGCATTTCTACCATGGCACTCAAATCTGGTTTTAGGGATCCAATTTTTAAAATTAACCATTAGTGAGTTGTAAAAGTCCAGGCAAATTTTCTCCCTGCGTTCTTTAAGTGTGGCTAATCCACACAGAGTGCGTGCGTTATCATAGTTATGATAACGGTGTCCTAACATAATTTTACAGGCTCTCTTCTGGATTCTTTTCAGATTCTTGGTTTCATTATCAGTGAGTTGTGAGTGCCAGGCCGGTGCAGCATATTCAATGAGGGGTCTTATAAAGCCATTAAAGATAGTGATCAAATCATGCAAAGGGAGATTGAAGTGTTTTAACATTTTCAACATATATAGTCTACCATTAGCTTTAGATATAATTTTTGTCGTATGTACTCTCCATTTAAGATCAGAGGAGAGTTGAATGCCTAATATTCTTATTGA